CCGATGTAGCATGTCGTATATGTGTTATGCTAGTTGTTGTGTTATGCTATGCCATGTTCAGTCAGTCAGTTCCGGACTTCGGTCCGATGCAGTTAGTTCCGGACTTCGGTCCGATGCAGGGGACAAGGTCCCAGTCAGTTCCGGACTTTGGTCCGATGCAGTTAGTTCCGGACTTCGGTCCGATGCAGGGGACAAGGTCCCAGTCAGTTCCGGACTTCGGTCCGATGCAGTTTCCGGGCTTCGGCCTGATGCAGTGGGCAAGGCCCAATATGTGTTTATATGTTATTGTATGGTATGTGGTAGTTTGGGGGAGCTCACTAAGCTTCGTGCTTACAGTTTAAGTTTTGGTTTCAGGTACTTCCGCAAGCAAAGGGAAGAGCTCGGGGTGACAGCATCGCACACACCACAGCATAGCTTTTATCCTGGAGATGTCTCTTGATGTTTTGGATTGATGTAGTATGATACAGTTTTCCGCACAATATTTTATTATGTTTTGGGGATACATCGCGTATGTTTTATGTTATGATACTTATATTATGGTTTTGATTATATTGAAAAACGAAAATTTTTGGGTCGTGTTTTTGGGTCGTTTCATATTTAAAGGGGCTTATGGCTGTCATTTGCAGCCACCAACCACAGAGAGAACCCTAAAGAGTCTTTGAGCATTTTGTGAGAGAGAAGAGGAAGATCCTTGATTATTTGTGGGTGTTTTGCTAATAGAAGAGGACCAAGGCAAGAGGAGACCAAAGAAGGTGCTAATCCAATGATTTCTGAGCTCAGAGACTTCATTTGAGGTAATCATTCATTCCTTTCTCAGTCCTTAGTATAAATCTTAGAGATAGGGTTTCTTTGTGGCCTTTTTGGAATGATCCATGGAGTAACTGGCCTCTTCTCGTATTGATGCTTTAGATCTGGACCCAAAGAGGTCCAGAGACCCTTTTTTTCTCAAGCTTTATGAGTGTTAATGGAGGCGGTGAGCTTAGAATAGCATTTTAGAGACCATATCTTCAAATAAGGCCTTTGAACCTTTGCATGGGCACCAAGATAGTAACTTTACGTGATGAATGAGCTTGGGAGGACTGGATCTATGAGTTATTTGAACATATATGACCTCAAGAGTGAGTTTGAGTTGATGCATGGCATAGACTCGCCGAGTCTGAAGAACAAACTCGACGAGTAGCATGAAGATTGTCCATAACCACTCAACGAGTGGTCTTGCTGAGTTAAGGGGTTGACTCAGTGAGCCAGGGAGAGTAAAAGAGGGTTGACGGGTGGACTGACTCAAGCCGGAACTCACCAAGTTGTTCTTATGACTAGGCGAGTTGAGTCATGGTGGCCCCGCAACTCATGCCAGGTGGAACCCGTCGAGTTAGGAAAACACTCGACGTGTCAAGAGAGGATCCGAGGGAGTCAGTGAACGCGTATAGACTCACCGAGGCAAGAGGAGACCAAAGAAGGTGCTAATCCAGTGATTTCTGAGCTCAGAGACTTCATTTGAGGTAATCATTCGTTCCTTTCTCAGTCCTTGGTGTAAATCTTAGAGATGGGGTTTCTATGTGGCCTTTTTGGAATGATCCATGGAGTAACTGGCCTCTTCTCGTATTGATGCTTTAGATCTGGACACAAAGAGGTCCAGAGACCCTTTTTCCTCCAGCTTTATGAGTGTTAATGGAGGCCATGAGCTAAGAATAGCATTCTAGAGACCATATCTTCAAATAAGGCCTTTGAACTTTTGCATGGGCACCAAGATAGTAACTTTACGTGATGAATGAGCTTGGGAGGAATGGATCTATGAGTTATTGGAAAGGATCTGACCTCAGGAGTGAGTTTGAGTTGATGCATGGCATAGACTCGCCGAGTCTGAAGAACAGACTCGGCGAGTAGCATGAAGATTGTCCATAACCACTCAGCGAGTGGTCTTGCTGAGTTAAGGGGTTGACTCAGTGAGTCAGGGAGAGTCAGATAGGGTTGACGGGTGGACTGAGTTAAGCCGGAACTCGCCGAGTTGTTCTTAAGACTCGGTGAGTTGAGTCGTGGTGGCCCCGCGACTCATGCCAGGTGGAACTCGTCGAGTTAGGAAAACACTCGACGTGTCAAGAGAGGATCCGAGGGAGTCAGTGAATGCGTATAGACTCGCCGAGTCGCTTTGGTGCACTCGTCGAGTCCGGTCAACACTAACCGTTGACCAGTGTAGATTTGATAGGGTTAGTCAACCTTAGTAGTGAAAGTGTTAATTAGAGATATATTGTATTATAGGAGGATTATACCTCAGGGGATCGAGCGCGAGTGATTTCAGGGATTTGCAAGTTATCGAGATACGCACGGTGAGTCTTCGCACTATACTTTACCTTGAGTAGGTAACTAGAGTTATGTGATGCAGTGCTTGTATGCTATATATGTGTTATGTGTTGCACTGCATTATTCTATGTGATTTATGATGTGCATGTTTACAGAGTTAGAACCTGAGGGTTCACAGAGTTTGGGTGCATGGACCCACAGAGTTATAACCTCGAGTGGCTAATATGTGTTATATGTGGTATTTTGGGGAACTCACTAAGCTTTGTGCTTACAGTGTTTGGTGTTATTTGTTTCAGGTACTAGTGACGACTGAGGGAAGGCATCGACTTGATCAGTACACACACACACGAGATTTTATGTTATGAGATCTTGGGATTTTTGTATAACATGGATTGAATTTCAAACATGGGTGTTTTTACAAATATTAAATGAATTATGTTTTTATAAAATACGAAAAATTGTTTTGAATTTTTACGGTGTTACATTGTGTTTTAGTACAACATACCATCCGCAGACTGATGGTCAGAGCGAAAGAACGATTCAAACACTAGAAGATATGCTAAGAGGATGTACCCTGGAATTCCAAGGTAACCGGGAACCATTGGTAGCGTTTTCCTACAATAACAATTTCCACTCGAGCATCAAAATGGAACCTTATCAAGCCTTGTAGAGACAAAAGTGTTGTTCGCCATCTTGTTGGCTTGAGGCTGGAGAAAAGTAGTTTATGGGCCTCGAGATAGTCCATCAGACTGCTAAAAAGCGGAAGGTGATCACGGAAAGGATGTTAGAAGCTCAGGATCGTTAAAAGAACCATGCTAACAAAAAGAGACAACTGATTACATTCAAAGTTGGAGATTTAGTTTTGCTTAAAGTCTCACCTTGTAAGCGACTTATAACATTCGGAAAGAGAGGAAAGCTAAGTCCAAGGTTTATTGGACCATTCAAAGTTATTCAGAGGATTGGGAACCAAGATTACAAGCTTGAATTACCAGAAGAACTAGATGGTATTCATAACACTTTTCGTGTGTGTTATTTGAGGAAGTTCACAGGTAAAGTTCCCGACATAATTCCAATTCCAGAGTTAAGGATGGATGAAAATAAGAGGCTAATCAAAGAGCCTGAGGCAATTGTTGACCGTAAGAAAAAAAAAACGCTACGACGAAAGATAGTCAACTTAGTGCTTGTGCGATGGAAACATACGAATGAGCCGAACTTCACCTGGGAAACAGAGAGTGATATGATGAGTCGCTATCCACATCTGTTTGTGGTGTATGATTCCGGGACAGAATCATCCTAAGGGGGGAGAAATGTAACACCCATGTTTCTAGGCAACCATTAATCTGATGATGTAATAGTTAGGTTCAACAATTGTAACCAATTTGGCATAATAAAGAAGAATTATGTGAATATTATGTGTTTAATGATTATTATAATATAATAAAATAGGAAAAATTAACCGAATTGTCCGCAAATCGTAAAAATAAGTGCACCAACATATATATATATATATATATATATATATATATATATATATATATACATACATACATATTATTAAATATTTAGAAAGTACACGTCTTCCCGATGCCGAAAATCTAAATTTCGTTGAAATCCAACTCCGTATGAATTATATATGATTTTTATAAAATATAAAAGTCAGCCGCGCACAAGGAATGTGTGATGTAAAAAGCTACGAAGAAAATGATTAACTTTTAGCTAATACGACCAAAATGAAAATCGTAGTACTCCTTATAATAGGAATTTTGAGAAAAAGACTGCCAAAACGGAGTCCGTACGAGAGAGTTATGATTTTAGCAAAAATCATTTAATTTTATAAAAATAGGGAAAAAATATAAATTCAAAACTAGCTGACAAAGTCTAAACGAAAGTTGTAGATCTCGTCGGTAGCTACGCGTGGATATAAAGAACGAAAAAACAGAGTTCGCATAAACGAACCATAATTTTTAATAGCACATTTACGTATTAAAATAAAATATAAAATATATATATATATATATATATATATATATATATATATATATATATATATATATATATATATATATATCATTAGAAAGGTATTGATGATGCGGTCGTTATAAAACTAGTGTTGAGTACTTTCGATATTAGTTTAGTACAATTATATATATATATATATATATATATATATATATATATATATATATATATATATATATATTAAAGTTATCTCTTCTTAGCTACAGTACCTTACCACATATACTGTTCATCGGTTACTTTAATTCTACCATGGTCACCGCTATACAAAGCCATCGGATATACTCAACAAACATCACCGTTTTCCATCTTTCCAGAACTCTCTCTATCCCTCCCACCATTATTGTTTTATTATTCAAGGATTTTCACTTCGTCGACTACCCACTTCATCTTTCCTCTTCTTTTGAGTCGTCATTGTGTTTTGGGGAAACGATGGTCGACCGGTGGACAGTAGGGTTTTCGATTCTCGATTTCCGTCGATTTCTGCTTTGCATCCGTCTTCACTAATTCGATCCCTAGGTCTTATCGGAAAAAGGCATCTTCTCACCATCACTCACCTTCTGTTTCTGGTAAATGTCCTCCAAAAGTTGATAGCGGTATCTCGATTTCTTCCTATCTTTCTAAAGATTCTAATTTTTATTTGATTTTGTTTAAGATGTTTCCAAATCGATGTTTTAAGGGAAACGATGGTCGACCGGTGGATAGTAGGGTTTTTGATTCTTGATTTCCCTTCCATTTCTACTTTGCATCCATCTTCATTAATTCGATCCCTTGGTCTTATCGGAAAAAGGCATCTTCTCACCGTCACTCACCTTCTGTTTCTGTTATGTGTCCTGCCAAAGTTGATAGCGGTATTTCAATTTCTTCCTATCTATCTAAAGATTCTGATTTTTATTTGATTTTGTTTAGGATGTTTCCAAATCGATGTTTTGGGGGAAACGATGGTCGACCGGTGGATAGTAGGGTTTTTGATTCTCGATTTCCCGTCCATTTCTGCTTTGCATCCGTCTTCACTAAGTCGATCCCTAGGTCTTATCGAAAAAAGGCATCTTCTCACTGTCATTCACCTTCTGTTTCTGGTACGTGTCCTACCAATGTTGATAGAGGTATCTCGATTTCTTCCTATCTTTCTAAAGATTCTGATTTTTATTTGATTTTGTTTAGGATGTTTCCAAATCGATGTTTTGGGGGAAACGATGGTCGACCGGTGGATAGTAGGGTTTTTGATTCTCGATTTCCGTTGATTTCTGCTTTGAATCCATCTTCACTAATTCGATCCCTAGGTCTTATCGGAAAAAGGCATCTTCTCACCGTCACTCAGTATCTGTTTCTGGTACGTGTCCTCCCAAAGTTGATAGCGACGGTATCTCGATTTCTTCCTATCTTTCTAAAGATTCTGATTTTTATTTTATTTTGTTTAAGATGTTTCCAAATCGATGTTTTGGGGGAAAGGATGGTCGATGGGTGCATAGTAGGGTTTTTAATTCTCGATTTCCCATCCATTTCTGCTTCGCATCCGTCTTCACTAATTCGATCCCTAGGTCTTATCGGAAAAAGGCATCTTCTCACCGTCACTCACCTTCTGTTTCTGGTACGTGTCCTCCCAAAGTTGATAGCGGTATCTCGATTTCTTCCTATCTTTCTAAAGATTCTGATTTTTATTGGATTTTGTTTAGGATGTTTCCAAATTGATGTTTTGGGGGAAACGATGGTCGACCGGTGGATAGTAGGGTTTTTGATTCTCGATTTCCCGTCCATTTCTGCTTTGCATCCGTCTTCACTAATTCGATCCCTAGGTCTTCTCGGAAAAATGCATCTTCTCACTGTCACTCACCTTCTGTTTCTGGTACGTGCCCTCCCAAAGTTGATAGCGGTATCTCGATTTCTTCCTATCTTTCTAAAGATTCTGATTTTTATTTGATTTTGTGTAGGATGTTTCCAAATCGATGTTTTGGGGGAAACGATGGTCGACCGGTGGATAGTAGGGTTTTTGATTCTCGATTTCCTGTCCATTTCTGCTTTGCATCCATTTTCACTAATTCGATCCCTAGGTCTTATTGGAAAATGGCATCTTCTCACCATCGCTCACCTTCTATTTCTGGTACGTGTCCTCCCAAAGTTGATGGCGGTATCTCGATTTCTTCCTATCTTTCTAAACATTTTGATTATTATTTGATTTTGTTTAGGATGTTTCCAAATCGATGTTTTGGGGAAACCATGGTCGACTAGTGGATTGTAGGTTTTTTGATTCTCGATTTCCCGTCCATTTCTGCTTTGCATCCGTCTTCACTAATTCGATCCCTAGGTCTTATCGGACTAAGGCATCTTCTCACTGTCACTCACCTTCTGTTTCTGGTACGTGTCCTCCCAAAGTTGATAGCGGTATCTCGATTTCTTTCTATCTTTCTAAAGATTCTGATTTTTATTTGATTTTGTTTAGGATGTTTCCAAATCGATGTTTTGGGGGAAACGATGGTCGACCGGTAGATAGTAGGGTTTTTAATTCTCGATTTCCCGTCCATTTCTGCTTTGCATCCGTCTTCACTAATTTGATCCCTAGGTCTTATCGGAAAAAAGGCATCTTCTCACCATCACTCACCAACTGTGTCTGGTACGTGTCCTCCCAAAGTTGATAGCGGTATCTTGATTTCTTCCTATCTTGCTAAAGATTCCGATTTTTATTTGATTTTGTTTAGGATGTTTCCAAATCGATGTTTTAAGGGAAACGATGGTCGACCGGTGGATAGTAGGGTTTTTGATTCTCGATTTCCCGTCCATTTCTGCTTTGCATCTATCTTCACTAATTCGATCCCTAGGTCTTATTAGAAAAAGGCATCTTCTCACCGTCACTCACCTTTCTGGTACGTGTCCTCCCAAAGTTGATAGCGGTATCTCAATTTCTTCCTATCTTTCTAAAGAGTCTGATTTTTATTTGATTTTGTTTAGGATGTTTCCAAATCGATGTTTTGTGGGAAACGATGGTCGACTGGTGGATAGTATGGATTTTGATTCTCGATTTCCATTCCATTTCTGCTTTACATCCATTTTCACTAATTCGATCCCTAGGTCTTATCGGAAAAAGGGATCTTCTCACCGTCACTCAGCTTCTGTTTCTGGTACGTGTCCTCCCAAAGTTGATAGCTGTATCTCGATTTCTTCCTATCTTTCTAAAGATTCTGATTTTTATTTGATTTTGTATAGGATGTTTCCAAATCGATGTTTTGGTTCTTGGAAAGGAACAAAATTTCAGATAATTCATTTGAAATTTGCAGGTTTTGTTTCTGTGGATCTGTGTAACTCTAACCTCCTTCACCACAACTTTATTCCTCACCACAGATATGCATTGGCTTATATCCCCTCAAAAATTTCATCGTTATGTAATTTTAAATCTATCCCATGTTACAAATTAAAAACATAATCAATAGAATCTTTATTTTCATCTTAATTACATTATATACATGTGAATAATTCTGGGATTGGTGGACTTATGGAGATAATGAAGCTTTTAGAGATTCAATATCTTTGTTTTATCAAAGAAAAAAATAAGAGGAGAAATCCTTAACCACCACCACTACCATTTGTCTCTATGCAGGCTGAAATCTAAAATAGTGGCAGAGATGTATCTGGTGAAGTGGGTTCCACAAGCATTGCTTAAAATGCTTGAAGCCCAAATCCTAATATTCCTTGCTGCTCTTTCTTCAATGAAAATTTATGTTCTACTAAATGTTTTCATAATCTTTGTTGTGTTCATTTAAAGGGATTCACCAAGTTTAGCCGAATTGATTATTTGCAGTGGAAATTTGAGAACGAAGTCATGTTTGATGGTGTTTTGAATCGGTTAGAAACACATCCACTGATGGTACTTCCCGGGTGATGCAAGTTACAAAGGTCAAGAAATTGTGCTGCTTTATATAATGTGGAATTTATTTTGTTTTGCAGAAATATAGGACAACTAGATATAGAACTGAGCCCTCATCAGAAGGTAAACAAAATTATGCCTTGATCCATTTCCTTTTTACAAAATTTTGCTATTTCTTCCTTTAGGGGTAAAATTTTACCCAAATCGACCCATTTTTACGTAAATGGGTCGAAATAATTTGAAAATGTTGACGAACTATGTCTATACTGATTGGTCGTTTATTGCAGGAGCTTCAGAGAAAAAAAACTTGAGTTGAAGATTTCTCATCTTTGGAGTTGAAAACGTAAGTCAGATTGGTTGAACTTTATTTAACCTTGTCTTTGTTTTGTTAGCTTCATGCCATTCATAAGATTCTTCATGTCAGCATTGAAAAAAACAGCGAGGTTCCATTAATTATACAAACAGTTTACATTTCTTTGTGTGCAAAGTTTGAAGTTTTGCAATAATTTGAACCAAACAGGGGTTTGGAGATCACTGAAGCATTACGATTACAGATGGAAGTACAGAAGCGCCTACATGAACAACTTGAGGTATATGATATTCGCTTTATTCAAGAAAATAACATTTGTGTTTTGTGTTTTTTCTTAATTATAAATGATTTTGCTTTCTGCATCAGATCGAAAGAAATTTACAGCTGAGAATAGAAGAACAAGGCAGGTACCTTCAGATGATGTTTGAGAAACAATGCAAGCCAGGAGGAGGAATCAATGATAATTTCAAAGCTTCATCATCATCTACTACCCAAGTCCTAGACTCGACCAACGAACTGGGACCCGACCTGGTGGTGGGACTGGGACCAGATAACGACTCGCAACCATCAAAGCATGCAAAAGTTGATGAGTAAAAAATGTTGGAAAAATATTGACAATTGGATACTGTCTTTGTTTTTTACATATGGGTCGTAAGGTTTAGTTTTATGGTCAATTGGTCATGACATGATGATACCAAAGTCAGACTTGGAAACTTTTTGACTTTATAATTGCTTCTTTCTGGCATAATAAGAACCCTAAATCAGCAGGCAGCAGGTACTATGCGGAACCATGCTAGAAATAGAGGTAGTAGTATAGGATTCTCTATAAAGGAGGATGAGATTCAGTGTTATTTTTCCAAAGCTTGGTTGTACTATACATATGTATCCGTATCATCTCATGTACTCTTATCAACTTATGAAATCATGATGAACAACACTTTCTATAAGGCCAAGGTGGACTGCCACATCACTATTTTACATGCCACATCAGTTTTTTAATTTTTTAGTTTTTTATTTATTTAGAGTCTGTCCATTTACTTAAAACCTTCAATCATTTTGGATGTGGGCAACCACCAGACCAGCACCATAGCCTCTCGCTTCATCCGTTTTCTCCACCAACTTCGGTTCGTTGTGCAGTCCACCAACTCCTGATTTGAAGACATAAACATTGAAGGCATGTAATTTTTTTTAATATATTGAGTTTTTGGGTTTCATTAACATTCGGTGTAATTGTGTGATTATAGGATAGAAACAAACATGAGTTCAGATCGAGTACTCAGATTCAAATATTCTGGTTATTTTCCATCCAACTACCTACTGTGACAATAGTCAAATTCGGGTCAAGTCAAACTCAAACAAATTCAATAAGTTAAACCGAACGAATCAATTAGCTCTAGCATATTAGGGTTGACGTGGTGTATTTACTAAACAATCCGATATTTTAATGAGAAACCATCATTTGAAAATCCATGTGATTGAATTCTTCCTAAGCCTTAAATGTGGTAAACAATGAGTCAAAGAGATAAACCACTAATGCACACTCATCGGGAGTGTGTAAGACACTAAAACATGGCTTAATGAGGTTTACGGACCTTGCGTTGCGAAGTCGAACACTCAAAAATGGCACAAACGAAACCTCTCTCAATCGTTTTCACTATATCTCTTTCTATTTGAAATCTCTCCTAAATCTCTGTCAATGGTTCTCGTAACTTTTTGAAGTCATTCGGGTCATTCCGACCTTTAACCGGGTCAAAAACCACTTAAAACGGGGTTAAAACGAGTAAAATACCCTAAAAGAACCGAAAAACCCTTTATAAGGCCGAAACCTCTTAGGGCCGAATTCCTTGGACCGAAAGCAGCAAAGAACTGAAACCCTAAGCAACCGAAACCGAGACCTGGAGCCGAGACCTGAGAACCGAGACCTGGAGCCGAGACCTCAGAACTGAGACCGAGTCTCGGTCTTCCTTCCGCCTTCGCACCTTCGGTCCTCCGTCGCAACCGAGCCTCGCTTCCTGTCCTTCTTCTCTTCTACTCTCAGTCCCTTTCCCCCCTCTCGGTCCTTCTCTGCTACTTTCAGTTCCGACGACCAGAAAACCGAACCTCCGGCCAGACTTCGAAATTTTGACACTTTTCACCCATTTTCAATATTTTTAACATTTTAAGCTCGTTTTTCGAGATTTTAACGCGGGATTTTCACACAAACTCATATTTTAACATAATAAACCCTCAATATTCATAATTTAATCATATTTTCATGAAAATCCTTATTTAAATAATAAAATCTAGTGGGTGAATAATTGAGGTGGAGTGTTGACTTTACTTTACCTTATGACACAAGCAACCACCCCCATACCCACTCTATGACGAGCCACACCTTCCCACCTTATCTAGGTCACTTCAATGTCCTTTCCACACTCAATTTTCAGCCTCTCCCACGTTTTTACAGCTGGAACAACCCATCCTCTCTCCTCACTTCTTTCATTTTATCTCATTTCACCAAAGATACAACACAACTTTTCTCTCAAACTTTATCTCTCTATTTCAAGACTCCAAGGCTGATCTTCTAGCTTTATCCTACCCTTGGTAAGTATAATTCATCCTCCTTGTGATTATGGCACTTCATTCTACTCAAGTCATTGATTGCTTACACAAACTCCATCACTTCGATGTTAGTTTCTCGAAAATCTTCAAGGCATCTTCAAGTGTTTTGGAGTTGATCACTCCCATTTTTCAACAATCATCTACTGAAACCACATAAGGTGAGTTCATACCCCTATATTTTCATGTTTTATCAAGTTTTAAAGGGGAGAATACAAGTCAAATCATCAAGAACACAACTAAATATTTCTAACAGCTTACATCAGAAAAGTTGGACTCCATTCACGGACTTTTTTGGTCAACCAAAACATTTTTGTTTTCAAAACTGTACAAGGTGCAAATAGTTCAAATTCTTATCTTTAAAATGACTACTTGCACATCTCCATATGATTTTTCTACAATTTATGGTGATTTTTGCAAAACTGCCTAGCATTTCAAGAACCAAACCGGACCAGTCTGTGTTTATGGATGTTTTCACTTAAGTTGGAGGTCACTAAAAATCATGGAAAAATTTATAAACAAACTAGACTCATTCACCAAACTCCCAGAATTTACGGATTCTGATTTGGATCTTTTATTAAGTTTATATAAATTTTCTAATAACAGTGATCGAAGCTGTTACAAACAGAAAAATGATAACATATTATTATTACCTTGTATCATGTTGTGTGAATGTATGTTATTAAAAAAGAATGATATTTTATCTTGGTATATGATCATGCATTAGTTAATAAATGGATTTTGATATAGATATACATATGAAATAGAAAGGATAACACGATTGTTATAATCAAATTACATCCATTTTACTCAAACAATTGAACGAACTATGTTGAATATAGATTACGTAGGTTACCATTACTACCCTTGTTTTGATAAACTATAATAGGTATTGTTTATGATTCATCACATAACACACTCATACAAAAAGGTTCTACACTCACGCACCCTACACGTAAACTTGTTAACTTAATTGGTGAAACAATCTCTCCCCATACGTCCGAGTATGGGATTCAAATTCCTGTAAGTTATAACCAGAGTCTCTTGTAGGGAGAGCGTGATAATTGTGTATAGATCTATATTGGGGTTGACATCCCACACCTCGCTGCTAGCTAGAGTCGGACCGACAGGTCTGCGGGTGACGAGAGTCATAGGATCAGGACGTCTGAAAGACGTTGTGCAGGTTACCTCTAGTCGTAGTATGGTTATAGCGATTCATATAGAGAGTTAACAATAAATAGAGTTTACAGGATTTTTATAAAACAAAAAGGGGTTCATGTCGATTTAAAAATCACTTTTTATATCAATAAGTACGGATATTACTATACACTTTTGGTCTTGGTATTTAAGACTACACATCACTCGGGATTTAGAACTACATACACATATTAAAGAAAATATTAGATATTCTGAATACATATTTTATCGCTTTTACAAGGAAAACGGTTTACTTCTCTAAAGAAATCTCTTATGAACTCACCAACCTTCGTGTTGACACTTTTTCAAACAACTTGTATTCTCAGGGAATCACTAAACAGGTAACCAAGTGCTTTTGAGGATGGGACGTTAAGGTGTCAACATATCATGTTTTTGTTAACATATTGTAATTGATTTGGAAACATGTAACTCATACACTGATGTAACTTTTTCAATTATATATATGTTGGTTGTGTTTGCTTAAATTACTATTGCAATTGTGGTTATGATACTATACATGAAGTCTCCCACCCCCGGACGTTTCCGCCATCCTTGGTTTGGGGGTGTGACACCTACAGGTTGTAAGATTCTGATTTCAACTTGATAAATTTCCCCTTAGTTTCATTATTTATTAGTTTCTTCCCTTTTTTATGATTTTGGTGATGGTTATGTCGATAAGAGGGCCATGATTTTGATATATTGTGATATTTTGATGTAGATTTCATCCTGTGGTTGGGCATGGTCATGTTTTGGTGCTTAAATTATGGTTTTACGATGTGTTGGACATATTTGCCCCTCTTTTGCTTTTTGGTTTCTTCCTTGGTGTTGCAAACAGTTTGCTTGGCTCCGGTGTGCTTGAAAGCATTTATATAAAGTTGTTCCTCATCGCTATCGTCTTGCTGCTGGTTTTTGCTGCTTTCTTTGTTTAGGACCATTTTGCCCTTATTTTCTTCTGTTTTTTCTTACGGAAGGTTGACCTTGGAACCTTGACTTTGCACCAAACAGGTAAATTTTCACCGTTTGTTTTGAAACTTTTCCAAAAGATCAGAAAGCTTCACAGCATTGTGCAGAAGTATGCATATTATTGATGAATAGGTATAGTTTATATGCATTATTTAATAGTACATTTGAAGTCGAAAGATGTAAGTTTGACCATATATGTGTGTTATTGGTTTGTTTAAAGGTTTATAGTGAGTGTCAAATAAACAATAGATATAACATTTTTTACACCCTTTATCTTTATTAATTATAAACATCAACGCATTTAAATCAATCATGCATAATTTATTTATTATCTTTCTATTTATGTTCATAACAAGTTTATTTACATATAAAAAATAATCGCACAATATTATATATAATTTCAATCATTTATTTATATATTGAAATCAACTTAAAATAAACATATTCAAATATTGCATAATTGAAATTTATTAATAAATTCAATTAAAAAAACAGTAGATTAACAATATTTTTGTTTTCTTTAGGGTAGATTACACGAATGGTCCCTGACATTATATATAATTTAAATGTGAATGATATAGGTAGAATTAGGAAGGTTTTGAAAGGTGGAGCCTCTCCTAGATGGATCCGGTCACTTCTTTAACCTTAGTAATCCTTTTTATTTTGTTTGTTTTTTTTTAAACTATTTTCAGTTCTTAATCAACTCTTTTCTTGGTTATAGATTTAACCAAGTAATTTGCAGTGCTCACACTTCTGGGCCATGAACAATTATGCTTCTGGCTCTCAAACTGTTGCATCCACTTTAGTCATCATAACATGTCTAGCAATCAAACGATCTGCCCGACTGCATAGAAGGTAATAACAAAGAATGAGGTCCACGAAATGCATTTTTGTACAATCCAACTTTTTGAAGGGTATATTGGTCATTTTCTTATATGTTTTCTCATTCTCCTTCATTTATAGATTCTATTGGGTTTGAAACTACAAGGGAGATCTGATAAAGGTCAAGGAGGAGGAATTGGAGCAGTACCCCCGAAAGGAAGCAGTTGGACCAGTTTTGACTAAATTTGGTTAAAATAAATTTGTACCTAACATATGTGTTTTAAAAAGAGAATATATCTCGGTTTGCTTCTACTTTACTTCATTTTTTAATCATTATACTTTCATACTCAACTAATTATAGCATCCTACTTACATGACAAACGACTGCTAAATGATGAAACCGTCTTTAACTCAATGTCTTCCATTGGTTTTCTTTGATATTAGTATCGAATCCAACCCCCGCGAAGCAGGGTTCTTATCTAGTTATCATTAAATCTATTTAAAATAGTATTATAAAAGGGTGTTTAGTCATTTAATTAAATATAGAGGGTAGTTTTTGAAAATTCAGTTTCTATAAATAAGAGCCTCTAGCCTCTCATATTTCTTGCACCATTTTTTTGATTCAAGAGTCTTTCTCTTCTTATCCCCCAAGCATTTTGGTCCCTCGTGATTCGACTTCTCTTTCAGTAGTTTTTAATATAGTAAGGTGAGCGGTGAAGCGCTGTAAGAATCTTTCTTAGAAAGATTCAACGACAGAGTT